TCTCCTGATCCCACCAATGTCCCCTGATCCCACCAATGTCCCCTGATCCCACCAATGTCCTCTGATCCCACCGGCTTCTCCTGATCCCACCAACATCTCCTGATCCCACCATCATCTCCTGGTCCCACCAACATCTGATCCCACCAACTTCTCCTGATCCCACCATGCCCTGATCCCACCAACATCTCCTGAACCCACCAACATCTGAACCCACCAACATCTCCTGATCCCACCAGCATTCCTTGATCCCACCATGGCTTCTCCTGATCCCACCATGGCTTCTCCTGATCCCACCAACATCTCCTGATCCCACCATGCCCTGATCCCACCAACATCTCCTGATCCCACCAACATCTCCTGATCCCACCAACATCTGATCCCAACATCTCCTGATCCCACCAACTTCTCCTGATCCCACCAACGTTCCCTGATCCCAACATCTCCTGCTGGTCCCACCAGCTTCTCCCCCTGATCCCACCGGTTTCTCCTGCTGACCCCACCCCGTTCCCGCCCCCAGGACCTTCCTGGAGTGCGGCCGCTGCTTGGCTCCGCCCCTCCCCGAGCTGTCCCCCGGCTCCAGGGACAGCTGCACCTTCCCGGGTGACTTCCCCTTCTGGGGCGTGGCCGGGATCCTGGTCTACGAATCCGAGTCCTTCACCTTGGCCGTCTACTTCTCCAACCCCATCGACTACAACAAGTTCTCCGTGGAGCTGGGCTTGGAGCTGTCCCTGGAGAAAGCCCACCTGAACCCCCTGGACGGCACCTACGAGCGCATGGCCAGGGGTTGCTACTCCAGCTCCGAGGTGGACATCCAGTTCCACCGCGTCACCCTGGGCAAGGGCCACGGCAGCGCCAGCGTCAGCGCCGGGCCCGTCAAGGTGACGGCCACCATGTCCAGGGCCACCAGCTCCCTGCTCAGGGTGGTGCTGGAGGGACAGGAAGGGTGGCTGGAGAGGACGGGCTCGGGGAGGCACTACCAGGAGAAGTGAGGAGCCGCGGCATCGGGCAGCTGGAGGTGTCTCCAGGAGCTTCTGGATGCAGCTGGAACCCCATGAGTGCTTCTGGAACCCCATAGATGTTGTTAGAAACCCATGGATGTCTCTAGAACCCCTCAGAAACCCCATAGGAACCCCACAGATGCTTTTAGAACCCCATAGAAACCTCCAGAACCCCATAAATGCTTTTAGAACCCCACAGATGCTTCTAGAACCCCATAGATGCTTCTAGAACCCCATAGATGCTTCTAGAACCCCATGGAAACCTCTAGAACCTCACAAATGCTTTCAGAACCCAACATAGACACATCTAGAACCCCAGGAATGTTTTTAGAACCCCAAAGATGCTTCTAGAACTCAATAAAAATCTCTACAACCTCATAACTGCTTTTAGAACTCCATAGAAACATCTAGAACCCCGTAGACACATCTACAGCCCCATAGAAACCTCCAGAAACCCCATAAATGCTTTTAGAGCCCCATAGATGCTTCTAGAACCCCATGGGAACCTCATAGATGCTTCTAGAACCACATAGAATCCTCTAGAACCCCATAGATGCCTGTAGAATCCCATAGAAACATCTAGAAGCCCATAGGATCTTCTAGAACGCCATAGAAACCTCCAGAACCCCATAAATGCTTCTAGAGCCCCACAGATGCTTCTAGAACCCCATAGGAACCTCATAGATGCTTCTAGAACCTCATAGAAACATCCAGAACCCCATAGAAACATCCAGAAACCCCATAAATGCTTTTAGAGCCCCATAGATGCTTCTAGAATCCCATAGCTGTCTCTAGAACCCCACAGAAACCCCATAGGAACCTCACAGATGCTTCTAGAACCCCATAGATACTGTTAGAACACCATAGATGCTTCTAGAACCCCATAGAAACCCCATAGGAACCTCATAAATGCTTCTAGAACTCCATAGAAACCCCATAGGAACCCCACAGATGCTTCTAGAACCCCATAGAAACCTCCAGAACCCCATAAATGCTTTTAGAACCTCCTAGAAACATCTAGAACCCCGTAGA